TCATTGTTGTTTGGCGGGTCCGGGCTGGGGATTTGAACCTGCCACCTTAGGTGTACGTGGCTGGCGCCTTAGCCGGTTGAGCTATAGGCGCAGAGCCATCTTATTTGATCTTTAAAACAATTCTTTGGGCCAGGTGTGGTGGCTCATGTCTGTAATCTTAGCACTCTGGGAAGCCAAGGTGGGAGGATTGCTTGAGCTCAAAAGTTGGAGATCAGCCTGAGCAAGAGGAAGACCCTGTCTCTAAAAATAGCTGGGCATGGCTCAACAACCATAGTTCAGAGGTTAGGGCGACAGCCACATGCACTAAAGCTAGCAGGTTGGAACTTGGTCCAGGCCTGCCAAACAACAATGACAACAACAACAAAAAAATAGCCAGGTGTTGTGGCTTGTGCCTATAGTCCCAGCTGCTTGGGAGGCTGAGGCAAGAGAATCGCATAAGCCTAAGAGTTTGAGGTTGCTATGAGCTATGAGGGTGCAGTACCTCTACCAAGGGTGGCATAGTGAAACTTTGTCTGAAAAAAAAAAAAAAAAAGCTGGGCATCACGGCACAGGTCTGTAGCCCCAGCTACTTTGGTGGCTGTGGCAAGAGTGTTAGTGAACCCACAAGGGGGGAGTTCACTGTTGTTGGCCGCACATGAAGCCAATTCTGAGACAAGGAGGATTGTCAAGGAGGAAAGGATTTATTTCAGAAGATGCTTCAACTGAGGGGAGTGGGGAGGGGAGGAGGGGCAGGCTACCTGAAATCCACCTCCCAGATTAGCAAGATTAAGGGGTTTTATGGAAGTGAACATGAATAATGCATAGAAGGAGTGTATCCCTTCTATATTTGGGGTAGAGTGCAGGGCATGCAAGCGTGGTTAGGAATCATGATAGTTCATACATCCCACGAACAGAAAATGGTGGGCAAATCCCTCCCTAGGGTGGGAATATTAGTATTATAATGAGCTTATTTGTTCATTCTTTCAGCCTTGTGCTCAGGCTTGGTGGCTCTTGGTTACAATCTGCAGTGGTGTTTTGCTTATCTTGACTTTCACTGAACATTCTGGTAGAGTAAGGCATTGTAGTTATCTCAGTGCCACAAGGAGGTTCTGCTATTTCCTGTGAAAAACTCAAAGAAATTATATCAGTTTACAGAAAGTTACAAAGTTCTGTTCAGCAGTTTGTACTGAGACCTCTGTCTCCTCTGCTTTTTCTTTTTTCCTTTTTTTTGAGACAGAGCCTCAACCTGTCCCCCTGGGTAGAGTGCTGTGGCATCGCAGCTCACAGCAACCTCCAATGCCTGGGCTTAAGCGAGTCTCCTGCCTCAGCCTCCCAAGTAGCTGGGACCACAGGCGCCCGCCACAACGCCTGGCTATTTTTGGTTGCAGCCATCATTGTTGCTTGGCGGGCCCGGGCTGGATTTGAACCCACCACCTTAGGGGTATGTGGCTGGCGCCTTAGCCACTTGAGCCACAGGCACCGAGCCTCCTCTGCTTTTTCTAAGACTGCTGTTGCTAGGCCACTGGAGCTGAGATGACACTCACTGTTTCATCCTTGTCTAGTCAAGGGCACTTAGCTGCCTGCTTCAGTTCTGATGTGAATGCTAGAACCTCCTTTAGAGAATTGTAACATTTTGTTATGAAACTGGTCACAAAAGGATCACTTGAGCCCAAGAGTTTGAGGTTACTGTGAGCTATGAAGCCATGGCACTCTACCCAGGGTGACAAAGTGAGACTCTATCTCAAAAAAAAAGAAATTCTTTGTAGGCATGGTGTGGTGGCTCATGCCTATAATCCTAGCACTCTGGGGTTGAGGTTGGGTGGATTGCTTGAGCTCAGAAGTTTGAGACCAGCCTGAACAAGAGTGAGAACCCCATCTCTACTAAAAAAGTAGAAAAAGAAAAAAAAAAAAACTAGCTGGGCATTGTGGCAGATGTCTATAGTCCCATCTACTCAGGAGGCTGAGGCAAGAGGATTGTTTGAGCCCAAGAGTCTGAGGTTGCTGTGAGCTATGATGCCAGGGCACTCTACCAGGGCGATAGAGTGAGAATCTGTCTCAACAAAACAAAACAATTCTTTGTAGTAGACATCATCACATCTGTTTTATAGTTTAGGAAGTAGGTTCAGAGTTAACGGTTTTGTTCAAGTCACTCTGCTGATACATGACAGTGCCAAGATTTGAACCTAAGTTTTCTGAAAATCTCTGATGTTCTTTATACCACAGTTACTAACTGATGTAGTAATGAGTTGGGCTAAGAATTTGGATCCTCAGTGAAACTGGCAGGTAGCCTAATGTAGCCCATTGTAGCTCCCAGCAGTAGCCTAATGATCAAAATTTTAAAATCTGATAGTTCACAGGTATTAACTGTCAATTCACTCAGGCAAAAAAGCCCTTAGTATTAAGACCAGAAAGCATTTGTAATAAAAAGGAAAAAGACTGACCTCCTACCCCACAAAAATAGTTTACTTAATTTTTCTTTGATTGCATTAAGGTTGGACTCTGGATTGATGCTGGAAGTCGATATGAAAATGAGAAGAATAATGGAACAGCTCACTTTCTAGAGCATATGGCTTTCAAGGCAAGTTGTGAGACTTTTTTATAAAAATGCCTTCTCCTTAAAAAGGAGTTAGTACAAAATCTCATTCTTTAAACACAAGGAAATACAGTGTGTATACTATGAAAATACAAAAGAAAAAGGTAAAGACAGCTAATTCTATAATATAGGATGTTTTGTTTTTATTTTTCCAGGACTATACCTGAAATAATTACTGATAATTGCTTTTTAAAGTTGAAACAAGGATTTTTTTCTTGGAATGTAAGGGTCATCTGAATGTATACTATTTCTGAGGCCTGATGTACTTTAGAAACCTATGTGAAACTCATATATTTGCTTATGCCCTCCATATTCATTATCTGAAGTAGTTAGAATAGATGAAGGGAAAAGGAAGGAATCACAATTTGTTTTTCTTTTTTCATTTCAAGGGCACCAAAAAGAGATCCCAGCTGGATCTGGAGCTTGAGATTGAAAATATGGGTGCTCATCTTAACGCCTATACCTCCAGAGAGCAGACTGTGTATTATGCCAAAGCATTCTCTAAAGACTTGCCAAGAGGTATTTTTATTTGTAATATAGATAATGTAGTTTTCATCAGGATTCAGAGAGAAGTCAGTATTATTTCTGTGGCTTTTTTTTTTTT